ATTGACTGTAATAGCTAGTCAAGAGGTCCTGTGCATGAAGTCAGGTACTGGCTGGCACAACATCAGGTCAAATAGGGCAGGACAAATCTATAAACCAGTCCTCACATCAGGTCAGGTGTGCAGAGAGACTTATTCAGCCCAGATCCCAATCAGAAGTGACTTTGGTATTATAACGTGACCATTTTGCAATGTGCTTTGGATAGAATTAGAATGAAACATTTCCAGGGACTTAAATCAGCGTACCTGTGATCAGGCATGATCACTGGCTGGATCTGATCGCTGACACCCTGCCTGATCACTACCTGATCCACGTATTGGGTCTATGGGCCTCCCGCCCACTGCCTGACTCATGCAGACGGCTGGGCCACGTGAACTCTGGGCGGATTTGTGGGAGAACTTACAGCGGACATTCTCCCTAAAGCACCTCAGGTGGCAAGGATGCACCTCCATTACCATGTCTACATTATATATAAGCTTATGGAAATCACATTAAGGGAAGGAAATAGCTGACAGTGAAATATACAAGTATAACTGAAGGCAACTCATTCTAAAATGAAATATGTGTTAAAATTGCTTGCATTTAGAAAATCACATTTTGGGGGGAAAAACATCCAACTAGCAAATAAAATAAAGAACAAAAACCCAAAACAACAGCAACAAAATAGCCTCATGGCCTTCACCATGATTCTGTGGGGCCACAGATGTCTTGATAATGCATCTGTTTTCATTGCATTGCTCAGCTTTTTAGATTTTGAAATGTGGCTAACTTGTAAACATCCTGGCCTGCTGCAGACCGAGTAGGCTGCCGAGTGGAGCAGCAGTTGAATGGAACACACCCAACAAATGACAACGATTTGCCCCCCTTACAATGAATATAGAGCACAGGACTAACTCATTAGCAAAATAAAAATGTTATCACTCCTGCTTACATCTGTTGTTACCATTCTGTCCGCAGCAAAACTTCGACTTGCATCAACTTTGTGGAGCATTATTACCGCCATTACTTCCATAATTATCCATACCAACATGTATGCCATCATGTATTCTTTTTATTTTTTATGCCTTGAGTTTTTTATTGCATGGAAAGTGATTTTATTAAGTTTTGTAATGGAGAGGCACACAGCCATTCAAAAAAATGTTACTTTCCCAAGAACAGAAACAAACAGAAATCAGACACTGCAAGGATAATGCATTTCACAGTATTTTACCTTACTTTTTAAAAGGAAGACACTGAAGCTTACCTACTCCTAGAAAACACAAACATTACTAAATTTTGAAGGGAACAGAATAAAGTAGGAGATTAATGCAAAGGTATTTAAAATAATCTGAAAGATAGTGGGCACTTTGAAACTGGTAGTTATATGACTCTCTTCCAAAATTGCATGGATTGCAAGTGAAAACCTTCTGGTGTTACTGAACCACAAATTGCCTACAGAAATGTTTTTCATTAGCACAAAGAACTCCTTTTATCAAAGAGTGCTAAGAATCTTTAACTGAATTCAATGTCAGAAACATAAAGTATTACTGGTATAAAGGGAAATCATCCAACAAATGGTTTCACAATGTCTGGTGCTAACTATGAAAAAGTGAAATAAAGAGTAACATTCTATTTTTCTACAGGTCATATTTTTAAACCATTACTGGTTTCTGAAATACACACCTGTTATCTAAACTTCTCTCACTAAGTCAAAAGCTTCCCAAACAGGATTCTGAGGGTTGAGCTATTTTTAAAGTTTTAGAACTGGTTCCCACTGCCTTCACATTTTCTGAACATAATCCCATTAAATTTCCTAGGTGAAATTCCTATTCTTTCCCTCCAGTGTGCTCTGACTGAAATGCTTCTGTACATGGTTAATTTAAACTTTCCTCAATACAGCTCCCTTACTGGGAGCTTGCTAATGTAACAATCGTTTGTCATGGATTATTTCTCTAAGTCCTTCCAGCAGCTGAAAGGGTGGAAATTATGAAACCAACCTTAAACATGACAAAATGAGGCTGAGAAATTGGCTCTGGGTCACTCAGCTGGGAAAGCTTAGCATACTCCATTTTTTCCCTCATGTATTTATCAAGTGCTTACATAGAAGCACATGGACAGGTAGGCCATATTCCTAGGCTTGCACAAACATGATAAATTAGATGGTGCTTACCTCAAATTTTGTGGCTTCTATGCCTGCTCATTTTGACATTTGCACAGATTCCTAAGCAAACCACCTTCCTGCACGCTACTGTAACAGAGAAGGGTGCAAGTCTCCCAGCATGGCTGAGTTGTCAGTATGGAGATATGAGTTAGAGCCTCCAGAATGTAAGCTTCCTGGAACACTAGGAGAGAGGACTTCAATGACCCTGGGATAAGGCGCCCCCAGAACAAGGTTCTATGGAGAATATTCCCCAGTAGCTCTAACACATAAGACAGTTATCCTTCACAAACACTCATTTACCCTGAGGATTCTCACATCTCTAAAAGGAGCTTGAGTTGTTGACTCCAAGCCAACCACCTGCAAAGCATGAGATGCTGGCTTATTCACCAGAGGACCTCCAGAGACTGGGGCTAGGGGTATTAATAAGGCTAACAAGAAAGTCTTTTCCAACATTCTTTAAAGATGGAGTGATGCTTGGCTGACCAAAGCTAATGGGGCCACACTCGCACCCCTCCCCAGTGAATGGCCTCTCACCTACGTTCAGAGCCAAATCCCCTATTTTCCAAAGATAAGTTGGGATATTGAGCTGGCCACTAGGCTCATGCCATTGCCAAAGTATATCTAGAATAAATCTGCTACAATTCTAACCTCCTTTCCTCCTTTAATATATACCAGATACAGAAAAAATCAGGAGCAAGTCAAATCCTGACTATAAGTATGTTGAATCAACAGATCTCTTTGGGTTTCTACGAGGAGAACATAACCATACCATGGAGGAAGTCCTAGCACACGTCCTGCCATCCGGTAGGGGATGGCATCCGTCACGAATAAGGCAATACCATGCACAAGGGCCAAGGTGGATGGAGATTCCTGCTATAGATGTTGATGCCAACAGGACTGTGTGTGAAGGAATGCAGCTGCTCATCACCAGGGTGGGGTCTCCAGCCAGGTCATCACCCTTTAAGATAGTTTCCCAAGCAACAAATCTGTGCTGTAGGTGGGTGGCCAGGATTCAAATGCGGAGGGACCACCAAATCCCCGAGGCAAGAAAGAGCATTGATGAGAGTTCTGGGAAGCTTAAATAATTCTGCATGCCTGAGTGAGGTGAGAATGAAAACACAGTGAAGCTGGAAGGGATGGAAGAGGCTTAGGAGCAGGGCAAAAATAGCCAACATGCAACCCAGAAAACTTTGAAGGTGGGTCTTACAAAAAAAAAAAGATGTTGGATGTGGTATGCAGAATGAGAAGAAAGTCTGGAGGGTAGGAGGCTAGTTTAAAACCTCTATATTTGTGAGTTCCCATGGAAATCAGTATGGAGGCTCCTCAAAAAACTTAACATAGACCTCCTCTAGGGCCCTGCTAGCATATACCACAACCAGCATATACCAGAGAAGAGCAAATCAATCTGTAAGAAAGAATGCAGCTTACTATAGCCAATACACATGTGTATACATAGAAAGAGAGCACTCATAATACAAACATGCATACATAAATACATACATATGTGCATGCATACACAGAGCCACAAAGAAAAATGAAATCATAGCATTTGCAGAAAAATGGATACCATTGGAAGACACCATTGAATGAGATAATTCAACCTCAATAAGCTAAAGATCATGTATGTTCACTCATACCTGAAAGAATTCATACCCAAAGCTATGTACATATATGTATATGCTTATGTACATAATATAGAACATGATTCTGACTCAGGGACTGGTTTAGAGGTAAGAGGAATGGGTAAAGTGAATATATAGATGGAAGATGAATAATTATAAATACATTGTTTCAGTACATGAATATGACATAAAGAAACTCAATGACAGCTGTTGACCCATAAGAGTTAGGGGTACAGGGAAAGAGCAATTGGTTCTGTTAGGTAGCTTGGTCTCAGAAGATAGGGACTGGACAAACAAGAAGGGGGAATGAGGGTGAATATGGTTTAAAAAGTTTGTTTTCATGTGTCAGCAAAACAACGTAGAATCTATGCTGTAGTGCTTCACTGTCCAACCACAGTCAGGTGTTGGCCTGACAATGGATTACAAATACTCACAAAAGACAGAGATAATGACAATCCCTTTGAATTCTCAATTCACTAGAAAATGGATAATCAAGGTCACCATAAAAGTAATCCTGGGCCAGGCTCTGGTGGCTCACTCCTGTAATCCTAGCTACACAGGAGGCTGAGATCTGCAAACCACAGTTCAAAGTCAGCCGAGGCAGGAAATCCGAGACTCTTATCTCCAATAAACCACAAGAAAACCAGAAGTGGAGCTATGCTCAAATTAATAGCTAGCCTTGGGCAAAAGAGACTCACAACTCTCTCTCTCTCTCTCTCTGTCTCTGTCTCTCTCTCTCTCTCCCCCTCCCTCTCTCTCTCTCTCTCTCTCTCTCTCTCTCTCTCTCTCTCTCTCACACACACACACACACACACACACACACAAGGTAATCTTGGGTCTTGTGATACACACAAAGGCCTCTTGAATTCCACTAAAGAATAAAGTAAGAATTAAAAACATGGCTTCTTGGGTCAAACTACCTGGATTTGAAACCCAAGCTCAACTTTCATCAGCCTCATGCCTCTGGACAATATATTTGTCTCTGATTCTTCATCTAAAACAGGACTGATGACAAAGCCACCCTAAGGTTCAACGGGGGGCACAAGCACATCAAGTCAGGTCCTAGAGATCTTGCACTCAGTAAAATGCCCATCAATGCTTGCACACTCACCCTCTTAGGAGTTGCACACCTTATACCATGCCTGCTGCACTTTATTCTTAGATGAAGTCATGCTATTCAGCACTCTTCAGTTCAACAGAGAAGCCCACATGGAAGTAGAGGACATAAGCAATCTCTCACCTTGCTCCTACCACAAGTTCTTTCTGTCCTGGGTCGAAGGTTAACCGTGAGAAATCCACAGCATTCTTCGCTCTGAACTCCCGTAACCAGGGGCCGATTTCTAAACAGAGAAAAACAAAACAAAAGAAATAAAAAGGTAATCATGAAAGATTTTTCCTTTGGGGACAACCAAGTGGGGGCTTCAGGTAGCAAGCCTCACGGTGGTTTAGGGGCCCCTGGAGGTTTTCCTCGAGGTGTCATGAAATCCGCACTGAGAATGGGATGGAGAGCAGGCCAGGGGCTGGGGCCTGGTAAGGATTTACAAGCCAGATGTGCATTTTGCTTTTGGCTCTAGGAGGGGAGAAAATAACACAGCATTCCCATGATTCATCAGAGGAAAACTGGGTGCAAATAATCCCATTTCCTGTGCAAGTTGACTAGAAAGGGGGTGAAGGCATCACCAAATCACAGAGGCCACCCCAGAGAGCAGGAACAACACACAGCCATCTATCCCTTTCCCTGTCCTTTGGGTTTTCATTGTGTCCCCGTGATCAGACTTGTTAAACACACTGGGTCTTTTCTAGAAAAGAAGTCCACAGTTATCTCCAGGACTCGCTGAGCTTTTTTTTTTTTCTAAGGGAAGTAAGAAAGCAGCCACTCTGTGTACAGAGAGGAGTTTTGTTGTTGTGTACACGCATTGTTCACTCCTATTAGAAGGCCTCCAGTGCTGAGTCTGGTTATGATAAAATTACAGTATGTGCAGAGGGAGAGGACGCTGCTTCATAAGCTACTTCACAGCATTCAGTGGCTCAATTTTGGACAGAGAAAAAATATGCTGTGAGTGTCCTGCCAGCTTTAAGATACCTTATCGTTCTCCTTGGCAACCAACCAAGTTATCTAATGGCCTTTTTTTCTGGATTAATATTTTGAGTGATACCGCCCAGCCTAAGCAGGTGTGTGATGATGGTCAAATCAATGAAGTGATTGGTTTGATGAAAGGGAATGATCTCTAACAAACACTGATACATTATGAAAATATGCCCATGTCCCAGAACATACCTGTACAGACAGCTTTGTGGGTGAATGGGGAGGACCAATTTTAAGAAAGATCTCTATATAACAAAGAAGTCTTTTTTCTACTTTCATTGACTGAAGGGGGAATGTGCTATCAACTAAAAGTTATTTCCTGCTGAATGGTAAACAGGCCTAAGATATTGAGAGATGTATATTGCCTTGTGAAATTTTGATGTGAGCAAAATCTTGACTTTTTAGCATCATATGTAAATTTCATCATTTTATGGACATGTCAACACAAATACTTACAACAAAGTATGTAGGAGGCATTGGAGCTATCAAGACGTTAGTAATAAATGATCCTTCCAAGAGCTTATCTTTCAGTTAGAGAAACAGTTGTACTATCTTCATCAAGCATGGCATTCATAAATACAAGACATGTTGTAAGTGATTATAGAGGTATAGCAGTTTTTTATAATATTGAAAGAAGAGATAACATAAGCAAAATGAAAGGAACACTATAACCAAAATCGCAAGACTCATTCTAAAGAGAAAAGCTAGAAAGCAGGAGACATTGCAGCTCACAGAGTCCTCCTGTACCCAGCTCATTCAATTCGTCCTCTCTTAGCCAGTTCATGCACATTTGGGGTAGATGGATGGAGATGACAGCTCTAGTCTCTCTACGACTTGTTATGATATCTATAGCACAGACACAGTGCCCTAAAAGTGATGGATAGTAACAAGATGGGAAATGAAAGAGTATATATTAGTAGGTGGATTTAAGACTGAGGGAATTAAAAAGAAATGAAAGAGAAAAGAAAGGGAACAGATAAAATAAAACAAATGCAACTTAATGAACTGCTTGCAAAGGAAAATGAAAAGTAAACTAAATATAAACCACAGAAAAAATCCTCATATGAGTTGATCAACTTGGGATGGATCTCAGGTATGACAACAACAAAGTTTTGAAGAGTTCCAAGTGAGCACCCAGCCCACTGAATCAAGTGTGCATGGGATACTAATGGGCCATTGTTTGGTAGGATGGTGTGGAAAGAGTAGAAAATAAAAGGAAAAGTACTAGATCCTAAAAACTACTAAGACCCATAAAGCTTAGGTAATAATGAATGAAGAAGGAAAATGAGCTATGAGAGTCTGATTAGTCAGATCCTTGATTAGAGTTGAATTCGAAAGTAACAAATTAAAAGAATGAAACAGTTCAGATATTCAATGAACAGGGCAGTGATGACAGACACAAAGATGTCAGGAATTAAAGATGGATGTGGACAGAAGAAATGGATTCGAGGGTAACTACAACAGAATCTCATTATCCTGCTTTATCTTACTTGAAAAATTAGAAGAGAATAACCAGAATAAAATTGATATAGAAGCATATTGCAATTTTGGTTCTTTTCATGAAGTAGACAATAGCATCGTTTCTAAAAACTGTCTCAAATGAGGAACTGTATATAAAGTGAAAACTGAGTTAAAAGAATAGCTCTGTCAATATTTTTCATTTTTCTTATTTTAAAATTATACTATACTTTCCTAATAAAACTATATTTTTATTGTCAAAGTCATAAAAATTGGGTGATCTGTGTAAGTTCTTCTTTTTCATTTTCTGATACATTTCTCTAAAAGGTCAGTCCTTCTCAGCATATTGTATAACCATCTACCAACTGGATCCCATGATGGACTTGGAGGAGAATTTCTTTTCAAAAAAATTTTTATTATGAAAATACTGTACAGAAGAGTTACAATTACATGGGCAAGATAATGAGTACATTTCTATCAAGCATTGTTGCTTCCTCCTTTGTTTCCCTTTCCTATCCCTTCCCATATTCTTCCCCCCTACCCATTTTCCCCCTTCTCCCCTCCCCCCCTGCCAAAGTTGTAAAGTTTGTTTTCAACATAACAACTTGTATATCTCATTGTTGCAATGGGTCCTCCTGTATCCCTATTTAAACGATTTGTTTTTTCCCTTCCCCTCCACAAACTATACCAACATCAAATACAGTGAAAGCAGGGGTTATTTCATGGGGAGGGACATACAAAGCAACAAAGAAATCATCTTATAAATATGATAGAAACAATCGTGTGAAAGTAAACAAGATTTGAATATTTATCTTGGGGAAATTATACTAAGAGAAGTAAGCCAGGCCCAAAGAAACAGAGGCCCCGTGGTTTCCCTTATTTGCAATAACTAGTATATGTCTGAGACAAGCAGAAAAGGTCAGATATGTTGATATTAGGTCAAATGAACCCCAAGATAAGCATTGGAGGAGAATTTCTATCCCAGCCTTCCTCCCTAACTGGAAAGGAGCCTGCAGGAAATGTGTCCTGTTCCTGTTCATGGGAGTTAGTAACAGTGCAGTGTCCTCTCCTTGGAGACAAGCCCTCCAACTTTACCATAATCCCATCCCTGTTCTCTCCTACAATCCCTTACCTGTTAAGCCTATAAGAATACTAAGTCTCTTCCCACTCTCTGTAATTAGATACACCTCTCTCCCATTTAAAAGTGGTTAAAACATGTTTTATTAGACTTATTTATTATTAAAAACTCCAAATGAACTCTCAAGTATACTATGCCAAAAGCATTGTTGTGTTTTTGGCTCAGTTAAGAAATATGTTTTCCTAATATCACAAAGTTATTTTGGACATAGGTAAAGCTTCCAAACTTAGAAATTAGTATGAAATGCAGCTGACAACATTCTTAACGAAAGCCATATTGTACTAGCACATATTGCACTAGGCACAAGTATGCACACGCATGTGCGCGCGCACACACACACACACACACACACACACACACACTCTATTTCCTATGGGATTGGGTTTATACAGGGACCTACTGAATCCTCAACAACCTTCGCCCTAGAAAAATCTGTCAGGCTTACCACCAACAGAAGTTTGGTGATGAAGACTGGGGCGGGGAATCAGGAGTTTCACTCCAGAGACCCTGAATCTATAATATTAACACTCCTAGTGGTGTAGTGAGAAATTAGCAATATAGATTTCTATTGATCTAGAAAATGAACAGTTGCAGAAGCTGAATGCCTGTAAGCATTCAAGAGTGAAAAGAAAAAGGAAGGAAGGAAAGCCGCTGGGTAACAAAGCTCAGGGAAGGACAAATAAAGGCTATCAAGAGAGAGAAGAGGATGGAGCTGAAGCACAAGCCGAGCTGAGGTCACACAGACTTCAACAGCATGAGTATGTTCATTGGTTCCCCAAAACAATGGTTTGCCCACTTCCTGCTGACCCTCTCCTCTGATACCATTAGAAATAACCAGAACTTAAGCAGAGCTCAAATACAGCAGCCAATAGGGCTGTTGCTTGGGGATTGACTTATAAAACATGGAATGCTTTGGAGATCCTTTGTAATGTGGTACCCATCCTAGATGATCCAGTTTTTATACAAGCATGATTACCAAAATATCCCCTCTGGTGATGATTTTACACCACAGAATTAGATGCATTGATTCACATTTTCCTTTTCTTACTATAACTTATGTTCTTACATGAATGTTTTGTCAATATTTTATCAAAATGTAAAGATACAGGATTTGGTTTGGGGAGACTTGCTTTGTTTTGTTTCTGTACCGGGTACATTAAACTCAGGGTAGTTTGTAGGCAGATATTCTATGACTTGATCCACACCCCAGACAAAGATTGTAATAAGAAGCCAGATTATACCTCCAAGAAAAATAATTTTATGTACATGACTCAGTCTTAGTAAACTTAGTCCAAACTAATTGGCCAAGTACCTCTAGGCTAACTTGATAGATGCAAGTTAATTACTGACCAACCATACAACAAAAGCAAAACCTGGAAGTGAGATCTGTTATTGCAAAACAAAAAGAGGCAAACACTCTAAAGATGGAAAGATAAGCTAAGGTGATAGATAATAAGATGTGTAAGCCAAGAAAAGCTATGAAGTGGGATAAACAGAATCCCAGGAGGTTTTGCTGTGAAGACCCAGAACTTGCCCAGAATATGACAGTCGCTCAGAGACTGGTTGGTGGCCCACACATGCAGAGGCCTGCAACGAGGTGTGTGGAGACCAACTTGACTCTGGCAGGTAAGAAGCAATGAAACCTCCCAGGAAGAATA